CTCTCGAGGACGCGTGGTCAATGGCCTAACCGCTGTAGCATGATAAAACATGACGTATCCCCCCCATCCCCCACCCCCCTCCCTCCATTCCCCGTACCCCTCTGTCCCCCCCTCGCCGGTGTTTGCCATCGGGGTTGGGTTTTTGTCGCTTGGCAACGACGTTGTAAAACAAGCCGCCCCCCCCCGGTGTTTGCCATCGGGGTTGGGTTTTCGTCGCTTGGCAACGACGTTGTAAAACAAGCCATTTCACTTCGTGAGCTCGGCAACCAGGTTACCGTTTGTTTTTTTTTACTTTGGTTTTTCTTTTTGGCGGTAACCATGAATGGTGGTCGAGTAGATCATGTTGTGCGGGGTGGAGAACCCTCACTCCGCGCAAGGGGGATGATCGCACCACGTTGTGTTACAATGGTCAAGCACCCTCGAGGCAGTTACACAGTGCTTTCAACTGTCTCTGGAAGTGAAAGCACTAGAAAATAAATTAAGTCATACGCAGCTGTCATCCGTACGCAAGGAAGTAAGCACAAGATGCCGAAAACCCTTAGCAGGATGCAGCGCACCCTTCATGCGACTCGCCGAATATCTCACGGCGCTTCGCGCTTGGTGATGTGAGAGCCTGGTCCGGTGAGAACCCGGCGTGCTCCGTCCCGGCTTTGTAGGGATGCGAGGTCAATGGTCTAACGACTACGGCATGCACGACTATGAGTACACCTCCCCCTCTCTGTAACCAACTACGTCCAGGCTGTGGAGTACCTCAAGGAGATGCCCGCCGCGGGCGTCCCGCCGACCCTCTCGCACTTCAAGCAGGCCTTGAAGGCTTGCGAGAGGGCGACGAGCAGAGGTCTCACCGGTGGCAGGGGTGACCGTAGCACCAGCGCTAGCAGGAGTGGGAGTAGCGGTAGTGCTGTATCGTCATCATCGTCGGGGGGAGGCGGCGGCAGGCACGGGTGGGAGTCGGGTGTGACCGCTGCGGTTGCCGCGGTGCCCGTGATCTTGGAGCTCGTCAGGGAGACGACGGGCTTGAGCCCGGACGACGATTGCTACTCCTCCGCCATGAGGTGTGTGTGTTCTTTATGTTGGATGCATGAGGTACGCGTGATGTGCTTTTGTGCAATTTGTGTGTTTCTTTAGTTAGGGTACATGGGGCAAATGAGGTACATGTATGTACCGATGTTTTTCATGTGTTCTGTCTGTTCCTTTCGTTGGGATGCATGAGGTGCGTGCTGGCGTTTGTGTTTTGTGAGTTATTTATTTTGTGTTTCTTGTTTGGGTGCTTCCGCCGAGGTGTATGTGTGCTTTCTTAGTTATAAGGGTGCATGGGGTAGAAGTGGTTTGCTTAGGTTTTTGTGTGTGCTATGTGATTCTTTAGTGAGTATGCGTGAGGTGCGTATGGTGTGTGTCTTGTGTGTTTCTTCAGTGGGTTGGTTTGCTCGCGTGTTGGTGTGTGTGTCTTTTCAATCTCGCAAAGCATCCTAGGAAAATACGCCCGTCTGAGTGCGGCTGTGAACGGAAAACGCTTCCAAAGGCCTACATCCGTTATCTTTGTCTTTGTGTTTCTTCCACTAGCATAGACCGCTCCAACGGGCTGACCATTGAAGAGCTTTAGTCTCTTGGCTCGCAATACTCCTTTGATGTGTCCGTGTTTTGTCTTCACAATCGCAAATCAGTGCTCACATTCCTTGCTGTGTTTTTATATCGACCCTCCCACTGTCCATGGAAAGCATGTCACTTCTGACGGCCCAGGCGTGAAAAAATGTGCACGGGGTAATTTTGAAGCATGCTGTATCATGTTGTGGTCTTCCACATAAAAAAAAAAGGAAGTTACTCCTCTTTGAGTATTTGGCTTGTGACCACGGAAGGCGTCCGTCCGTATAGGTTGGACCAGTACGGAAAGTAGAAGAAACAGAGGGGACACCGAATCGCTTCTTTGTGACGACGACAGCAATAACAAGAACAATTTGGTTGGTTTGCGCGCTGCCCGGCACGCCTGCTCTCCTTCGTTGGACGATTTGCTCGTTTTTATTTCTCTTCAGGGCTTGTCAAAACGCCGGGATGGGAGACGCGGGCTCGGAGTTGATGGACGACTTGCAGGCCCAGTCCGCCGTGAGGCGGATGGTTAGGGGAGGAGGCAGCGGCGGCGGCGGCGGCGGCGGCGGCGGCGGCGGCCAGGACGAGAATCGCGCCGACGACGTTTCTCTCAACGGGGACGGGTTGTAATAACCATCCTCCTGGTGGAAGAAGACGGCCAAAATCGGTGGCGTGGTGCTCTCATCGTCAACGGGATTTTTTTTTTTTTTACCCTTTCCGGGGTAGGGAGAGGAAGACGGAGATCGTGCTTAAGAGCATGTTTTTTCTCTGGCAGGATGTTGCTTGTTTGGAGAAAGGCACTCACTACTGCTGTGGGCCTCTGCTGCGGATAGAATACGCCTGGTGAGAATTTTGACGACAAAGAGACGGGGTGTATGTTTTTCGGAGGAGCGCAAGTATGGACAAACTTCGTATGGCTCTGGTCCCCATTGGACACCGACTTCACGAGCCGAGGCGGAACCGGTTGCCCGTGTAGGTAGCGTGGTCGCCATTGATCCCGGCACAGGAGGAGCCGTGAATGATTTTGTCAAGCAAGTACGGTAGATGAGGAGGAGGGCCTCGTCGCGAACCAAATCAGCTTGAGGCTGTTCCGAATTTCATGCTCTTGTGTTCGCTGCGTGTGTACCTGATCTCGAAGCCTCTTTAAGACACGGCGAGTGTGAAGCACCTGTTCTGTGCTGCGTATTTGGCGCAGCAATCGGTGTAGGTTTTGCGGGAAAATGGAGGCGGTACGATCTGTTTTTGGCCGGTCGTCGGGCTTGTGGGTGCGGCCATAACGGGTCTCCGTGAGGTGATGACGCGAGAGAAATAGTCGTGCCGGCACATACTCGAAAAAAAAAAAAAAACTCGCGTGAGCTCTTTGGAGAAGAAAGCTCGTTCCGAAGTGGTAGCAGTTAAAAGCTACACATTGGTGCTGATTTGGGATGTGTTTTGGCTGCATGCATGTGCTCCGTCTCAAGGGTGAGGGGGTGATGATGATGCGTTGGTAACATCTGTGCGATTTTTACACTTATTAATAGTATTTTTGTGAAATAAATCTCCCCTTCATGAGAGAGAGGTTGTTCGCCTTCAGCAAGCATGGATGAAGAGGGAGTTATTACGAAGCACATGCTTGCATGCGCCGATTGTGCGATGAACCCACACTGGAACACCGACACACCGGAGGTGCAATGTAGATACAGCAATGTTTCCTGGGTAGACTTGGGGTGGAATATGGAGGGGGCTGTTATGATTAGTCGTGAAACACGGCTCCCCCCCCCCCCCCA